GAGACACAAAAGTTCATTCTGTATTGCCATTGTGAATCAAGACATCAGAATGAACAACTAAATGTATATATTAATTTCATATCATTCCATACAAGCATGTAAGGAGAGAGAGAGGAAATGCTATACTAAACTCCAGTGTTTACTGTAACATTGGATGTAACACCAAGACAGAACATCAGTAAGAAAGCAGCAAATATGAGTAGCGCTGCACACACTCAAGAACTTTCAACCCACAGGCTACCCACAGAGCTCTCTAGGGAAGATTACTGAGAGCCATAGAGCCAGTCTCAGCATTAGGAAGACTGAAATCCTATGTTTGATTCGGATAACGAGCAGATGAAGTTAGAAATAGCAAATGAAACGGGAAGCTAGGTCTGGAGATACAGACCCACAATTCCAGGTCCTTGGGATGCTGAAGCAGGAGGATCATGAGCTCTGGGTGAGAATCAAAAACTAAAACTAAAATGGGAAAGGGCTGTGGTTTAGAGGTAGAAGTAGCTGAATGTAGCTGTGAACCTACATGAAACTGTATGCTTACTTCAAATACCATGAGACTCTCTCTCTCTCTCTCTCTCTCTCTCTCTCTCTCTCTCTCTCTGCACTCTCTCTGTGTGTGTGATCTCTCTCTCTCTGTGTGCTCTCTCTGTGTACTTTCTCTCTCTCTCTCTGTGTGTGCTCTCTCTCTGTGTGCTCTCTCTCTGTGTACTCTCTCTCTCTGTGCTCTCTCTGTGTGCTTGTGTGCTCTCTCTCTCTCTCTGTGCTCTCTCTCTGTGCTTTCTCTCTCTGTGTGTGTGTGTGCTCTCTCTCTCTGTGCTCTCTCTCTCTGTGCTTTCTCTCTGTGTGTGTGTGTGCTCTCTCTCTGTGTGCTCTCTCTCTCTGTGTGCTCTCTCTCTCTCTGTGTGCTCTCTCTCTCTGTGTGTGCTCTCTCTGTGTGCTCTCTCTCTCTCTGTGTGCTCTCTCTGTGTGCTCTCTCTGTGTGCTCTCTCTCTCTCTGTGTGCTCTCTCTCTCTGTGTGCTCTCTCTCTCTCTTTGTGTGTGTGTATTCGGCAGATTTTTGTATTGCTTTTTCAAGCCTACTTGGTGTTGGTTGGTTACCTCCCCGTTATCCATCTTCCCTTCCGGTCTCCATCCCACCTCATGTCCCTCTCCCCACTTAAACCTCCCCCAACATCATTTCCCTACTTGTTGTTGTATTCTGCTATCTACTTGAGATAGACCTTAAGAGAGTTCTTTCCCCTCTGCTCCAATGAGCCCTTTCTAGTTTCCTGAACTGATTTGTGTTCTTAACTTCATTTACTCTTATTAAAAAGCTGAATAATATTATTGTTTAAGAATGCCATATTTTCCAAACATCAGTTGATAGACATCTAAGTTGATTCCATTTCCTAGATATTATGGACAGAGCAAGAATGAACATGAACAAACAAGTGTCTCTACAGTAGACAGATGCCAGAGAGTGGTGTATCTGGGTCGTATTTTAATTCTATTTTCAGCTTTTCAAAGAACCGTCTCACTGGTTTCCATAGTGGCAGTACCTTTGCATTCCCACCAATAGGGAATAAGTGTTCCTCTCTGCCTATATCTTTGCCAGCACTGGACATTTTTTAAAATCATTCCTTGATGACCACTGTCCGAATTCTGGTACAATGGAACCTCAAGGTGGTTTTAATTTCCATTTATCTGATACCTAAAGACACTGAACATTTATTAGATATTAGGATAACTATTCCAGCTTGTTTCTTGGGTAGATTTGATTGGAAAATGTTTTCCTAGCCCTTTACTCGGAGACCATGTCTGTCTGTGAGTTTGAGGTGTGTTTCTTTTTTTTAAAATTTAGATTACAAACAATCTTATTATACATGCCAATCCCAGTTCTATCTCCCTCTCATCCTCCCATGCCCCCTCACCAGCTCCCCATCCCACCCCCTTTCTGCTTACATGGGGTATCATCAAAGTCTGTCATTTAGACAGGTGTTCATAGGTGTGTGGGTTAACATCACGGTTTTCAATTTCTTGTATGCAGCAGAAGGATGGATTCTGTTTTCATATCCGATCTGTTAGCCTGTGCCTTTTTTAGGTGAATTGAGACCATTTAAGTTAATGGATATTAATGCCCATTGATTGCTAGTTCCTGTCATTTTGTTTTTGTTGTTGGTGATGGCATTGTGTGTTCTATTTGCATCTTTGAGGGGTTTGCGGCTGTAAGCTCATCTATTTCCTGTGTTCTTGTGAACACAGGTGGTTTCTGTGGGTTGGTGTTTCTTTCTAGTACTTTCTGTGGGGTTAGGTTTGTGAATAGGTATTGTTTAAATTTGGTTTTATCCTGGAGTATTTTTCTTCTCTATCTCTGGTTATTGAAAGCTTTGCTGGATAAAGTAGTCTGGGAGGGCATCTGTGGTCCCTTAGTGTCTGCATAACCTCTGACCAGGATTTTCTGGCTTTCATTGTTTCCTCTAAAAAGTCAGGTCTAATTCTGATAGGTCTGCCTTTATATGTTACTTGGCCTTTCTCCTTTGCAGCTCTTAATATTCTTTTATTTTGTATTGTTTATTGTTTTGATTATTATGTGACAAGGAAACTTTTTTGGTCCAGTCTATTTGGTGTTGTAAGCCTCTTGTATTTTCACAAGGTTGTTTTTCTTTAGATTGGGGGACGTTTTCTTCTATGATTTTGTTGAATATATTTTCTGTGCCTTTGAGTTGGACTTTTTCTCCTTCTTGTATCCTTATTATTCTTAGGTTAGGTCTTTTCATGGTGTCCCAGATTTCCTACATATTTTGTATTGAGGATTTGTCGGATTTAAAATTACTTTGATCAATGCATCTATTTCCTCCAAGTTATCTTCAGTGTTGAAGTTCTGTCTTCCATCTCTTGTATTCTGTTGTTTAATGCTTGCTGTTGTGGTTCCTGATAGTTTACCCAGATTTTCCAGAATTCCCTCAGTTTTCATTTTTTATTGTGCCTCTATTTCAGATTTTATGTCTTGAATCCTTTCCTTCATTTGTTTGATAACTTTTTCTTGGTTTTTAAAAAGGGATTTGTTGATATCTTTCAATTTTTTGTTTGCCTTTTCCTCCATTTATTTAAGAGAATTTTTCATTTCCTCTTTAAGGGCCTCAGTCATCCTCATGAAGTTATTTTTAACTTCTACTTCATCTGTGTTGGGATGTTCAGGTCTTGCTGTTGTAGCACCACTAGTTTCTATTGGTGCCTTATTTTTCTTTATACTGTTGAGTGTGTTCTTACCTTGTTGTCTACACATCTCTTCCTCTAATCAGTATAGGTGGAGCTTGTGCTTCAGGGAGTCTCTCTTTCTCCTATTGGTGTAGTTGGGGACTGTGACTCCCTTGACCACCCTTTTAGGCACAAGTAGAACAGAGTACCTCCTCCAAACGTACTCCTGGGTTTGAGACTGGGGCCTCCCTCTCACACTGTTTATGGTTCTGAGGATCATGGCTCCCTTGATGGTGCTCTGAATCTGAAGCCCAGGCCTTCCTCTGACGCTCCTTGCAGGCTGGGATTAGGGCCTCTCACTCCACTGAACACTTGAATAACTATTATCCATTTGTGTTTCTTTTTGAGTGTTTGGTTCAGATTTACAGCCCATTTTAGCTTTCTTTTTATTTATTCTATGTGTCTTTTACATCATGTATTTTCATCCCATTCATTTCTCCAGCCCTTTGCATCTAGCCTCTGCCCCTGCAACTCCCCCCTCCACAATAAAACAAAATTTAAGAGAAAAAAGAAAAAAAAGGAGAAAAAATTGCAGAAAATTAAAAATATCACCATGGAACCTACAATGTGACACAGTCACACATTAAACCTCTTTGTGCATATATTTTTACTTGCAAGTATTCATTGCAAAGAGTTGTTGGTCTGGTTTGAGGTCTCTGGTTTCTACTACACTATTGATGCTGGGCACTCCCTGAAACCCTACTTGGACATTTCATTGCTGCTCTGTGTTTTGGAGATTCTGCAGCTTTGGGTCTTACAACCCATTTTTAATTGGGGCTTTTTAAAATTTATTTTTGAGTTATAGTTGTTAATCTCCTACCTGATCTTTTTCCCATTTTGCGGGGTGTTTCTTCTCACTCAGCTAACTATTTCCTTTGCTAGACAGAAGCTTTTACGTTTCATGCAGTCCAGTTTTTCAATTGCTGACCTTAACTCCCAAGAATAAAGTGGTATTTGGTCCCATGCCTCTGTGTGCAAGAGGTAGTTTATAAAATGGAAATTCATAAAAACCTTGCTGCTGTTACTATAATACTTTTTTGCATTAACCTTTATAATAGAGTCAAAATTAATCTATGCATTGTCGTTACTATTATAGCATTCTGAATTGGAATATACTGTAGCTTTCTGTCTGTTTCTTCCAAATGCTTACCTTTGTTATAAGTTTTTGTCTCAAGCACCCCCTGAGAGGGAAGGTAACCACTTTCACTAAGTCAGGTAGGTCTTAAAAATCTCAAATATCCTTCTCCTGTGGCCACCCAGTGATGGCTCTAGCAGTTCCTCTAGTTAACTCAGGAAAGAGTGGAACACCCACTCTATTCTCCCCTTTGTCTCTTCCTATGACCAACTGAAGTCTAGATAGTGGTAGACAGCATATACAATGGAAGAAAAGATCAACTCTTGAATTGATTTGATATCTGGGAGAGAAAGGAATTTACCTACTATGTAAAATAATAGATATGAGACTTTCAGAATTGATTCCATGTGAACTGAAGAGTTGGGCAGGATGTCTCTGCTGCTCTGCACCTGCCTACAGCATAAATTTATACCTTCCTACAAGCATATCTTGGTCTGCGGAGATTACTGGACATGACAAGGACCACACAGTGCTGTATGGATGGGAAGGCTCTAAGAGTTAAGACCAGGCTTCAGTCACCCTTGCCGACACTTGATTGGCTCAGGAATAAAGATCTATTTGCAGCTACTTCCTTGATGTCAGGGAGATGAAAGGTAATGAGACAGGCAGAAGATGTGTCTGTGTGAGGCCTTGTTAGTATTAGTCAAGAGTCTGGTGCCTGATCTCGCCACAAGCCAGGGGAAGTGAAAACATACCTCCTTGGGGTGATATTTCCTTTCTCTGAAATGAGAAACCTCATGATACGGCGCACAGTCCCTGCAGTGGCCGAATCTCCCGTGACTGGAAGTGCTGCCAAACACCATGGTCTCATTCATCTGTGGATTTGAGCCTGTGCGAGGAAATACCGTGATCACCATCCTCACTGTCCTGTTTTGCTCTGGTGAGATTTGAAGAGGTGGAAGGGACATTGTGATCTGAGGAAGATCCAGATCTCTATGTAGAATGAAGGGACTCAGGGGTCTCTTGGAAGAATGCAATGTGCTGAGCATTTTGGGGACAAATGTCTTACAGGAAATTTTCCCCCATGCCTGAATTTGAACCCTGGTACTACCACAGTGGCAAAAGGTGAGTAGCTTCTCAGCTGTCCCAACTCCCTCATCCTTATTGGAAACAACAAACACTGTCATGTGCTGTAAGGATGGAGAACAGTGATCGAGAGAGGATTGTGTTGTAATGTGGGAGGTTCTAGAACTATGTGCAAGAATAAGAGGAGTCATATCCTAGGACCCAGCATTTGAATTTTTTTTTTCAGGAACACTCCCCCCACCCATCCTTTGGGCTGAGCCAGGTTCTATAATCTCTTGGGGCAAGTCTGTGACCATCTTGTGTCAAGGAATCCTCCAGGCACAGGAGTACTACTTGGATAAAGAAGGAAGGACATCACGTTTGTACAGACAGACCCTAATGGAGCCTGGGGGCAAGGCCATGTTCCCCATCCTATTCGTTACAGAGCTCCACGCAGGAGAATATCGCTGCTACTATGAGAGCCCTGCTGGTTTTTCAGAGCACAGTGACATGTTGGAACTGGTGGTGACAGGTAAGAGGACACACATTGGTCCAGTTTCCTGTCATAGCACAGGCACAGGGAGAGGACGGTGTGTGCTGTGTGAACCCTTTAGCAATCTGCCTCCTTCTCTCCTAGATGTCTATAGTAAACCCAGCCTGTCAGCGCTGCCCAGTTCTGTTGTGACCCCAGGAGGGAATGTAACTTTTCAGTGTGTCTCCTGGTTGGGATTTGGCACCTTCGTTCTGACTGAGGAGGGAGAAAACAACCTCTCCTGGACTCACAAGGCACAGAGACATCCAAACGGGCACATGCAGGCCCTTTTTCCTGTGGGTCCCATAAGCCCCAGCCACAGGCGGAAATTCAGGTGTTACGGCTATGACAAGAGCAATGCCCAAGTCTGGTCAGCACCCAGTGACCCCCTGGAGCTCACAATCTCAGGTGAGAATCTCTTCTTCGACACAGCTCTTATAAAATAATTTTTACTTGCTTTTGTTTGCTCAAATAACATAACCTTAGCTGGTGTAAAACCATCGCGCATGGCACCGAGGCTCACAAAGCTATCTCCACACAACTTTATTGTACAGTTTGGGTATATTCACACCCCTTCTCACTATCCGCTGCTCTCTGACCTTCTCCTTCCTCTTCCCGAGAAACTTTAATTGCTCTTCGAAAGCCATGTATACATGTATGATGTTATGTAGCTATACATTAATGTAAGATTTACCAAGAAAGAAAACATATTTGATATATCCGAAAAAGCTGAACTTCTTTTATTCCATTTTTCAGACATATAGTTCTAGCTAAGACATCAAGCACTGAATTAGAGAGTGGACTCTTGCCTTTCTGTTTTTACCCGCTGAGCTACCCCATCTGGGTTTGATTTCGTTGAGTAACCATTCCTCTTTGGATAATGTGATGGTCAGTCTCCACGAATTCTCAATTTATATTTGTTCTGTAGTTTCTCTTGCTGTCAGTTTCCAGCGCTTTTTTTCCCCGTATAAGGGTCAGACAGAACAGAAGAGATCAATTCCACTCTGCTGTTGTAAGGACCAGCCTTCAGCAGCTCAGGAATTGAAGGGGAGCCTTGGAGTCAGTGAACTAATTATTCAATATGACTTTTCTATATGAGGGAGTAAAACTTAATTCTCTGGGGCCGGTGAGTGGGGCAAAACTTAGTTCTCTGGGGACAACAAAAACAGGAACACACGAACACATACACACCCCTTTAGTGTCTTTTTATTATTTCTCTCTTATATCTTTACTTCTTACCTCTACCCAGATGTGTTCCTTCTGTATATTCTTAACTTTTCCCTTATAGCTTATATACTCCAGCAGAATCTTTCAAGCAGAATAAAAATTACTATGTGGTTACTTTCTATTTTTTAAGTGGATGATTACAATTAATAAGGGTAAAAATCATGTTTCCCACATTCTTTACATGATTAAACATTTTACGAATTACAGGTGAAAAATAAATTATCTCCAAGGACCCACGTAATTCATCTCCCAGCAGCTTGTTATAGATTAACAGGATGTAAGCAAGGAAATTTTCTCAGCCAGCTCTTTTACTGGCAGGCTGAATTTTGCAATTACAAAGAAAGGATCAATCACTTTACTATTTATCTCAAAAGGTAATCTTATAAAAAATCCCAAAAGAATTATAATCTAAACTTTTATAAAAGAAAAACTATTAGTCAACTCCACTTTAAATCTTCAGGTCATATACACACTCATCAACAGTTTTTTTTAATTTAATCATATCAGGAAGCCAAGTGGCAGAAATGGGCACTAGAAATTATTACATTTGATCACTAATAATACCTGGTCTGTCTTTGTTCTTGTTTCATGACCTCAATGAACTCCTTGTTCAACTGTTAAAAGTGTGTTTTTGTAAACTTTAAATTATTCCTCAAGATTTTCTACCTTAAAGCCATTAACAGAAAACACCTTAACCTAACACACCTTAGTATCCTGTCTCAGAAAACAAAAAACAAAACAAAACAACAAAACACCTCAACATAACCTTACTAACAATCTACATGTCTAAATTCTTTGTGCAGTTGGTGGTTGAGTAATTTATCTGCTGCAGCAGCAATTCTTGGAAAAAGTAAACTACTATTATTGTAATTAACAATACCATGGCCCAGTGAGAGATTAGAACCCCTCTGAGAGTTTTCATACAACCCATAGATTATGAGGGATGCTCAATAACAGCTTGAGGTCCTCATCACACATAGTACTCAGGACTTTGCCTCTCCAAGGATCATTCAGGCATGGCTTTGCCAACCACCAAGTCATGTTCCATGAGTTCTAATGTTGCCTGTTGGTCCCCTCACATGGCCCCCAAAAGTACTCTCCCATTTGTTGGGATTTGTTTTGTGTCACATGACCAGTTCTAGAGAATGTCTCATGGGCTGCTGAATGGAATGGGTGTTTTTGCACTGTTTGAATGGAACTGTCTGTACATGTCTGGTAGGTCTATTTGATTTACAGTATCATTTAACTCAGGTGTTTCTCTCTTTGTGTTTTATTGTCATGCCTGTCTATTGGTGCAAGAGACATAGTCAAGTCACCTACTATTATTGTATTGACATTAATCTGCGTTTTTACATACAGTAATAACCATTCATGATCCTGAAATGCATACATCCTTGGGATAGTATTACCCTCTTGATTGACTATTCCTTTAATCAGTATGCAGTGACTTTCTTTATCTCTTCTGGTTAATTTTGGCTTGAAGTCTACTTTGTCAGATGTTAGGACAGTGACACAAGCTTGCTTTATAGTCTTCGTGTTTTTAATGTCTTTCCCTATCCTTTCACCCAGATGTTGCATTTGTCTTTGATGATGAAGTAGGTTTCTATGGAGACAAAAAGCAGATAAATCCTATTTTGTAAGCCCATCTGCCAGTCTGTGTGCTTGATTTGGAAATTAGGATCATTGATATTTTAGCTGCTATTGAAGAATGTGTAGTAACTTCTTTTGTTTTGTTGATTTGGTAGTACTTGTTTCCTTATTCCAATACTGTTTATGCTTTCCTGTTGCCTCAGGAACATGTTTATCTTTTTCTTCAGTTTGAAGTTATTTCTTTTTTCTCTTTTATTGAAAACAGATTTTTTTTCCTCACATAAAGCATCCTGATTCTGGATTCCCCTCCCTCTACTCCTCCAAGTTCCTCCCCAAATCTCCTCCCATTTGAATCCATCCCATTAATGTCTTTCATTAGAAAGCAAACAGGATTCTAAATCATGACAGTAAAATAAAATAAATAAAATGCATAGTTTCACAGGGACATGAGATTCAATCTACCTCAAGATCCAGCTACACCTCTTTTAATCATTTACTTAAATATTACTTCATCCAACCACTGAGACACTTGCTACTCTGTTCACAATACCTAAAATTTGTAAATAGCTTGGACGTCTCCGAAGAGATAAATGGGTAAAGGAAATGTGGGAAACGTACACAATGGACTATTACTAAACAATTAAGAAGATGAAACCATGAAATTCACAAGTAAATGGTTGGAACTAGAAAAAAATAGTGAGTGAGGTAACCCATATCCACTAGGACAAACTTGGTGTGTATTCACTTATATATAGATATCAGTTGCTTAATGATAACCAAGCTAAAATCCATAGAGCGACAGAAGTTAGGTACAGAATAAGTGACTAGGGAGGACAGATAGAGTTTCCCAGGAAAGGGAAATAGGACATATAGTGATGTAGCTCCATCTTGTGGTAGATCAATTCTCTTCTTTCAAAGTAACTTCAAGAATGAGTATCTTAGTGCTTTTATAAAATTGCATTCCTACCACCTGGAGAAGTATTCCCCTTACTCAACATCTTCACCAGCATGATCTGTCACCTGTTTTATTAATCTAAGTCATTCTGGTTGGAGTAATATGAAAAGTCGGTGTAGATTTGTATTTGCGTCATCCTGATGACTAAGGATGTTGAACATTTCTTTAAATTGTTCTCAGTAATTTGAGTTTCCTTTTCTAACAATTTCTGTTTAGATTTTTACCCCATTTTTAATTGAGTTATTTGCTCTCTTGATATTTAGTCTTTTGAGTTATTTACATATTTTGGATATTTTGGATATTAGCCCTTTATCAGAGGTGTAGTTAGTAAAAGAAAAAAAACCTTTTCTCTTTTTGTAGGATGATGATTTGTCCAAACGATGACATTCTTTGCCATGCAGAAGCTTTTCAGTTTCATGAGGTTCCATTTATTAGTTGTTGATATTAGTGTCTGTGCTGTGTTCTGTTCAATGTGTTCAAGACTATTTTCCAATTTATCTTCTATTAGGTTCAGTGTATGCAGTTTTATAGTGAGGTTTTTGATTGACGTGGACTTAAGTTTTGTGCAAGGTGATAGGTATGGATCTTTTTGCGTTCTTCTACATGCAGACATCCAGTTTGACCAGAACCATTTGTTGGAGACAATATCTTTTTTCCAGTATGGTATTTCTGCCTTCTTTATGAAAAATCAGGTGTCCCCAAAGACTGCCCAAGCCTCTCAACTGACACCCACATTCAGGGGGAACTAGTTCAGTCTTATGCAGCTGTCAGTCTGGAGTCTGTGAGCTTCCACTTGCTGAGGTCAGCGAATTTCAAGATGTCATTATTTTATACCACTTAATAGTACTCCATTGTGTATGTGTACTACACTTTCTTTATTCATTCTTCAGTTGAGGGGCATCTAGGTTGCTTCCAGGTTCTGGTTATTACAAATAATGCTGCTATGAACATAGTTGAGCAGATGTCCTTGTGTTATGAATGTGCTTCCTTTGGACATAAGCCTAAGGATGGAATTACTGGATCTTGAGGGAGACTGATTCCCATTCTTCTGAGAAACTGCCATGTTGATTTCCAAAGTGACTGTAAGATTTTGCACTCCCACCAGCAATGGTGGGGTGTTCCACTTTCTCACATACTCTCCTGCATAAGCTGTCATTGGTGTTTTTTAATTTTAGCCATTATGACAGGTATAAGTTTGCATCTCAGAGTTGTTTTGATTTGCATTTCTCTGATGACTACAGATGTTGAGTAATTTCTTGAGTGCCTTTTGACCATTTGAGGTTCCTCTGTTGATAATTCTCCATTTAGATCAGTACCCATTTTAAATTGGATTATTTGGTGTTTTGGTGACCAGTTTCTTAAGCTCTTTGTATATTTTGGATATCAGCCTTCTGTCAGATGTGGGACTGGTGAAGATCTTTTTCTGTTCTGTGGGCTGCCATTTTGTCTTCTTTAGTGTGTCCTTTGCCTTTCAGAAGGTCCCATTATTAATTGTAGATCTCAGCGTATGTGCTACTGGTATTATGTTCAGGAAGCGGTCTCCTGTGCAAATGCATTCAGTGGTACTTTCTACTTTCTCTTCTAAGAGGTTCACTGTGGCTGGATTGATGTTGAGGTCTTTGATGCATGTGGACTT